AGACCACGTGGCATTGCTATTGATAATGATGGATATGTATATGTGGCTAATTCGAATAATAAGGTACAAAAGTTTGATAGAAGTGGTCGTTTCATCTGCCGTATTGATAAGGACAATGATGGACTGAATATACCAAATAGTGTAGCAGTAACTGATGATGTACCATGTAGAGTGGTTTTAGCTGACCGTGGTAACCATTGTGTGAAAATCTTTGCACAGTAATTACAGTTTTAGATTTAGATCACTGTCAGGAATCCAAAGTTTAATTTATTTCCAAGTATTACGCCCTCCCTGTTAGGCTTATAAGCTTTCAAATGCATACATGATTTACATAGAAAGGGGAATACTTTGTGACTTGTTATAGTGGAGAAATAAAGAAATACTTAATACATATATTGCATGCACGAATTCTTCGCAAGGAGAGCAGCCTGATTGGACGACAAAGAATTTACCTGGGGTGAGATTTGTCTCTAAATACTATGGTACCGAAGACTTGATTCCCGAGAATCAGAATGAATTTGAGGTTAATAAACTTTGGTGAATTTGGTTAGCCGGGTCAACAAACTCGGTTTTGCATTTCTGTCAGTTTGCATAACATTCCTGTCGCACCTGATGTGGTAGTTTCTTGCAATTCTTCTGGTTTCGACCAATTAGAAATGAGCAGTGTAAACAAAGGGGTGTCATCTTGATTTACATATGTTCCCCAATAAATTGAATGTCACGAATGTCAAACATTAAATCATGTTTATGTTGTATGTCGTGATGGTGGCGTTTTGTGTTTGTCTTACGGCGATAGATAGGCAATGTTGTTTTTGGCGATAGATAATTGTTAAATATAGAGTGGCAAGATGTTTCTTTTAGTCAGCACTAGGGAAGCGGACTTTGATAGAACCCGATCTGAACGTTCATGTGATCAAATGTGGATGTCCGATCTTGTAGGTACCACAGTAAGCCATTGAATAATATTGCATCATGGGAGTTTGTGATCTCTTCTGGAGGACGTCGGTTCGCCGTTGTTGGCAGTATACCATTTTTTACGTGTCTACTAATCACGCGTTTGCAAGTAACGTTAGAACAATACACGGTGTATTGTCATACAAATTAATGTATTGTGATCTACGGAATGTGCATCATAAAGATAATTCTATTGGCCAATTCCGGCCTACTGCAGTTAACGAGTGGGGAAACTCGCCAGTGAATGACATTCCCGATTTTGGTTCTGAACTGGATGCGCCTTCTAATTTATGTTACTGGCTACGGAGGTGTACTGCGGTGCAAGGGAATCCACCCGGACCACTCTCCTTCTACAAGTTA